TTTCTATCATTTATTTTGGATCACAAGTTTTAAAAGTCTATCTCTCTTTCTTAAATTTCGTGTCAAGTCAAACTAGCTAACGTGAAATGAAACGAAGGAAGTATGTGTTTATGCAAAGGTTTATTTAGTGTTTGTTGAAAAAGAATGTGGTGCACTGGAAGGGGATGAGTTTTCTCCTTTTTTTAAACAGAGGTTTCGATCGAGCCTTGGGTATAAAAAAGTTCTTGATAAGGAGTGTTTCTCCCTCGAATGAAGCACTACATGTCGCGAATCAAAATAATCAGACTTCAATGTAAATACAAAATATCAAAAGACTTCTTTGGTAGTTATATACTTCCATTTTTCAAGAACTTTGAAGGCATTCTTGGAAGGAGGAGAGTAATGTAATTTGGTTTAACATAATATATAGTGAAGGCAAAAATATATTATTTCGTCTCAATTTATATAACATTCTCTTGATTTCAGAGAGTGATATATTTTTATATTTAGTGATAGTTTAATTTTTAAATATGTGTATTTTATTTCTATATCATATAAATTGATACAAAAATAATTAAATGTTGACAAATTGGCAATAATATAGTTTAGTAAGAGCGCGGGAGCAATTAAGACATAAGAAAAATAATTGTAATAAGCCATGCAATTTTTATAACATTTTATATCAAGTTAGACAATTTTATTATATTTTTTTTTTAAAAAAAAGGAACATAAATTGAACTGAAAGAAAAATTTATAAAAGTAAAGTGAGTCTCATTTCAAAAAAGTTATACACAAATTATATTAAAGTGTAATAAAGGAATAAATTTAATTTTTTTTAAAAATAAATACATAGAGGGAGGGAGATCGTACATGTCTGCTTCAACTTCAAACTCTTTCTCTTATATAATAATTTTATGCAATAAAACAATACGCATGTGAAGAAAATCACATCATTTCGTAATCTTTACTTGTTTCGAACACTTTCAATTTTATACTCTCGTCTTTTTTCGAAAAGTAAAATTCAAACGTATTAAACACATGATCCAACTATTAACTTTTTCTCTTATGTAATAAAAAAAGAATATGCATGTGAAGAAAATTACACCATTTGATAATCTTTACTTATTACGAACACTTTCAATTTTACACTCTCGTCTTTTCTGAAAAAGCAAAACTCAAACGTATAGAACACATGATTCAACTATATGTGTTCATCACACTATTTGTACAAACAAAATAAAACAGAAAAATATTGAAAAATTTTGAATTATAGTTGCACGTAAAGGTAGTTTACCTAAAAATAACCACCTATGGGATAACTTTAATATATATGCCTTATTTTCGATTTAAAAATTAAAATAACTAAACATGGTTAGTTACAATATCAACCTCTACGCAAATTATGTATATACTTTAAGGATAAAAAAGTTATTTTCAATAGACACTCGGTTCAAAATAAAATTAAACTTATTTAATGAGAATTGATACTATTTTTTTTTCCTGTCGAATGTGGGAAGAGAATACTATTTATATTTTTCACCCTTCTTGTCCAAAAAATGAATGAATACGAATTTTTATTATTGAATTCATTATACTTTGAAAGTTTCACTCTGTATTTTATATTTTTAAGTGATCATACATAAAATAACACTTGATTCTCGATATTAGTAATCTTTTTTTTTGTCATAATCCTTCTTTTTAAAAAAATACATCGGTTTATCATTTGGAGAAGATCGAGGGGAACATCAGATAGTAAACACACTCCACCGTCAACCTTGAGGTTTTAGGTTAAAATCATCAAGGAAGTAAAATAGTGACAAAACTTAAATAGTGCACCTAATTGGCCCAACAAGGCCCAATTGTAAAAATTAAGCCCATTGGAGGGATTTGGGGACAAAGCATATAAAACGCCGTCGTACACTCTGCTCTGCCGGAATTGCCACAGAGAGATGGATGAAGAAGAGCATGAAGTTTATGGAGGTGAAATCCCCATTGAAGGTGACATGGAACCTCACGGTGCTGACGTGGATATGGCCACCGCCGATGATGATGCTGTTAAGGTTGGTCTCTGACAGTTCTTGTTTCTGTATTTTCTTGATTTGTTGGTAAAAATGAAGTGTAGATATAAGGATTTGATATGAATTTTGAGATGTTATTGATGATGGGTTTTTTGTTTTATTGTGTGGGGTATTGAAGGAATTGGATGAGATGAAGAAGAGATTGAAGGAGATGGAAGATGAAGCTGCAGCTCTTAGGGAGATGCAGGCTAAGGTTGAGAAGGAGATGGGTTCTGTTCAAGGTTGTCTTTTTATGGAATTTCTTGTTTTTTTTATTAGTATTTGATCATTGTGTTTTTGGGGTTTTGATGAGTATTGATGTTATGTGTATTGGGTTGTCAAGTGTTGGATTTTGTTTTGCTAAAGTTGTGATCTCTGAGGTATTTTTGTTAGTGGTATAGTGGTGTTTGAACTGTAAATGAGTCTTTCAACAATTGGATATTGTGTTGCTCTTTTTAAGAAAGTTGTTATGTGCTGTACAAGGTCTTCTTTTGTGAAATTTCTTTCTATTTAATATTTATGTTAAGTTTCTTGGGTTCTCAAGTGTTGGATTCTGTTTTTTTTTTTGCTTTTGTTGATAAAAGTTGTGATCTTGAGGTATTATGCAATTGTAATTGAGGTATTTGTGTTGCTGGTATTTGAACTTTAATGAGTTTTCCAATAATTGGATATTGCTTTGCTGTTTTTGACGAAGTTCTTATCTTTGTGTTATTGTCATCATAATTGATCATAAATCTTTTGTCTTTCTTGGTTTGTCTGGAGAACTTGTGTTTCTGGTATAGTGGTATTTGATCTTTTATTAGGTTCTTAACAGTTGGATATTGTTTTGCTGTTTTTGGCAAAGTTGTTATTTTTGGGTTGTCGCCAATTGCCATCTTAATTGATCTAAAAAAATTGTTTTTCTTGTTTTGTCAGGAGTAGTTGTGTTTCTCTAGTCTAAATGTTTATTTGATTTTTAGGCTATGGATGTCATTTTGTTCTTGTAGACGAAAATTTTGATCTTCGGAGTATTTGACATCTTAATTGATCAATAATCTTTCGTCTTTGCTTTGAGGAGTTCTTGTATTCTTGCTATCTGAAATTTCATTGGTTTTCAGAATTTTAACATTGTTTTGCTCTTTTTAACCAAAGTTGTGATCTTTTAGGTATTGTTATCTTAATTGATCAGGAAGCTTTTGTCTTTCTCGGTTTCGGAGGAGAACTTGTGTTTCTGCTGTTTGAACATTTATTGGATTTTCAAGGCCTTTTGGCATATACCATAAGTTACCTTAGAACTTATGGTCTTAAACATGCCATGACATTTCTATGGTTATAAGGGAGTATATCATTATGTACAAAATAAAAAATTCAAATCTAATGAGCTTCCAATTTAGAAATAAGACTGAAAATGTTTAAGTTTCATATAAAATGAAGCAGACAGAACTATAAATGACTATCGTTGTCGCTTATTGATGACGCTTGTTAAAACTAGAGGATGTGGATATGGAATGAGGCTTATAAATAGGGTGTTAAAAAAGTATCTGTGGGTGCGGTAACGTCCACCGCCTCTTCCTCTGAAGATTCTTTATTTATTCTTGCTATATGGCTGGATGTGCTTCTTCCTTGACCTAATAACTCGTTAAAGTATCAATATTTAACATATAAGTGCTTAAAATGCAGGTCTCTGTAGGATATTTATCGGTTATCGATTCAATATATCTTGATGGGACTTTTTAAAATCTTAGTAGTTAGTGAGAAAACTAGTAGCATCGACAAGAAGGTACTTAAATATCTTAAAGTTTTCTTCAGGCAGGGTCACATTGGAGTTAGGTTGACACCCTTTAAATTGACCACCCTACCCAGGGGCAGAGGGAGAATATTAGTTACGAGTTTGGACTTTGGACGAACCCAGTAGTTTTTGTTGAACTGTGGGGGAGGGTGGAACTCCTAGATCCATGAAGAACATGGGCATCTGTGGCCAATAGGCTTTTGCTGAAAATTATGTCTTGATTCATTTGACTTCTACCCGAATTTCAGCATATCAATTGTGTTTCTGTGTAATTATGTGTTTCCATTTGTAAATTTTTTGCTTAACTAATTTTATGCAGGCAATATAAATCAACCTATTTAATTCTGTCCTTTTTTAACCTATGATTCGTTGGCTAGTCTGTTAATAATGTTTTAGTCATCACTGTATTAATTTTAGAAAAAAATTGAATTTTACTTTGTCCTATTCTAATTGGATCCTTTTTTGCCTATCATTGGATTAGACGATCCTGCAAGTACAGCTGCTTCACAGGAAAACCGGGAAGAACTTGATTCACGATCAATATTTGTTGGCAATGTAAGAACCAGATATCCGTAATGTTCAATTGCTGATTGATTTTTCAGACATGCTATGCTGAACATGTTTCTGTAGAACTTGATCTATGCTTGTTAGTTATTTATTTGTTCTATTTTCTAATGGAGCGAGTTCAGTATTTGCGTGAAAAATTACTGTATTTTACCTGTGGGGCTAACACCATAATTGCGTGAAATTATCTTAAACTTTATCTGGACCTTTTGTCATACACTTATCCTTTTCATTAATATATCTTTGAATAACTGAAGGGGCCATCTGGTTGGGCTATTTGTGCAGAAATCTCTATATTATTTCTGTCGGATAAAATGTGGAATAACATTACAGGGATTAAGCTATTTAAAGACAAAAATGCCCCTTTAAAAGTATAATTCATGTATAACAATCTCCTCATTATGAATCCTTCATAACAATCACCTCATTGTTAATCAACACATAAATGATGATCTTTTTTTGTTTTCTCTTTTTATTTTCTTGTTATTGGGCAGTTCAATTCTTCTCTTTATGCTGTCTTCATCTTGGTTTGGCTTTGATACTTCTGAGAGCCAGCTTTGACTTTCTCTCACTATGATCGCAGGGACATTCAGTTTTCTGAATACAGTGGCATTCTTACCCATTTTTTTGATGGTGAACAAGAGTAGTTCTGATCTTAGATATGTTTCACTTAGGGAGTTGTAACCACATGTTTGACTTGTGGAAAAGTTTTAATTAAAAAGAATGAAAAAAAGAAAGATGAAAAGTCATGAAAATAGAATACCAAAAAAAAAACAAGAAAAAGAGAAAAAAGCGAAGTCCCCATTGAAAAAAGATAGAATTGGAAAAATCCTTTGAGGCATAGGAAAAAAAAGACTGAACGTGGAAAAAAATATATGGGGTTGTAATATTAAAGAATTCTGAAAATCATTTTGTTCTGGAGTATTTGTACATTAGATTCAACTCTAGCGAGAAGACTATGTTTCTGTAAGTCGCAGAGCCTAGTCACTGCCATGCAAATTCTAGTTGCTGAGTCTGATTGCTGCTGGCAGCTGGTGAACGTGGTATTCAGGTCTCACTGGCTGATTAAGCCTGTTTTGGTGAGGTGTCATTACTTTGTATTCAGCCTTACTTTGTATTCAGTCTGATTGGGCTTTATCGGGTGTAGATGTTGCTATGACAGATGATTTTTTCGGATAGTGTCCCCATAGATAGCGTGAAGCATAAGAGTTGTTTCACAGCCAAGATGGGGGGTTTATTGTGCTGGATGGAGATTCTCTTTGTTGTTAGAACTTAGAAGGACCTGGAGCTCAAAACTATTATTTTCTTCCACAAAGGATGTCACTGATCCAATTTTTGTATGCTGCTGCTTAAAGATTAGAGAATTAGTTTTTACAATATTCAAACCTAACCTTGCAAAAAAGTTTAGCTTTCTGTTGCTTAAGTTGTCAAGTCCCTACTCAACAATGTCAGATGCAATTACGACTAATGTTTCTAACGAGCTTGTACTTCATTTTGATTTAACAGGTTGACTATGCATGCACTCCAGAGGAAGTTCAGCAGCATTTCCAGGCATGTGGTACTGTCAATCGGGTTACCATTCTTACTGATAAATTTGGCCAACCCAAAGGTTTTGCATATGTGGAATTCATTGAACAAGAAGCTGTCCAGGAGGCACTCCAGCTGAATGAGTCTGAACTGCATGGACGTCAATTGAAGGTAAAATTTGTTTCTTTTACCTGGATAGAATTTCTTCGTTTGATAAAAATGGGAAAAGAAGATAAGCCAGTGAAAACATACAAAAACAGGAAAAGCTCTCAGGAGCAATGATTTGCAAGAAACTTGAACTGGCCTATCAATTTATTATGTGTAATGTTAATCAAGTTAAAAAGATCTTGCTGTTATTTGTTGGTTTGTCTTGCTGATGTTTGCATTATGTTGTTTATACCTTAAAATGATTATCTTTCAAAAAAATCTTTTGAAATACTTCAAGAAGAGGAGCATGAGACTTCTATAAGGAATTCAAAGATAAGTTAGCTCCTTTCCTAAGCAAAATCATGTTAATAAGATGATTTTTTTCCTTTCTGCATAAGCCTAGGCGGCAGAGTACCGAGTATACGTGTTGTTGGGAGGTAGCATATACATATAACATATTGCAATAGTCGAAGATGTGTGAGGGAGTATATTATCGGCATATTTTTGGTCATATAGTAAAACAATCCTGTTGTATGGTGTATTTCCCCTCCCAAATAAAAAAAATCGTCTTTATTCCGAGTTCCTCATCATACGTCTGGTATTTGTGTCCGTGGTGCATAGTTCTAATGCTGCTGCTCTTACAACTTAACAGGTAATGCCCAAGAGGACTAATGTTCCAGGAATGAAGCAGTTCCGCCCAGGGCGCTTCAATCCATACTTGGGAGGTTACAGGTCTAGAAGGCCTTATGCAGCTCCCTATTTCTACTCTCCATACGGATACGGGTGAGAATTTTGATTATCTCAAACCTTTAACAGCTCTGTTATACAACTTTCTTTTTTACTATTTTCGCGTGTTTGCAGAAAAGTTCCAAGGTTCAGGAGGCCTGGGAGATTCATGCCTTACTATTAAAAGATGCCAAAATCTGATGAATGCAGACTAGAATCACAATCAAATACTGATGCTGTCATCTGGAGACCACCCATTTCATATTTTTCATAATGTATCATTTAGGTACTGGTTGAGACTTTGTAGTAGCTTATCTAGCATAAGTCAATGCTTCCTATTTGCATTTGAACTTGGTCAAAAATCTCTTGTTCAACATTAGTATAATCCTGTTGGATGTTGAATGGTTATTTAGTTTACCATATTATCAAAAAAAGATATTCACAGCATATGTTCTGGTTCAATGTTCGGTTGGTTGTGTAACAACAACAAATACAGTGTAATCTCATGTGAGGTTTGAGGAAGGTAAAGTGTACACTCATGTTCAACGTCATGATTTTTTGTACACGAAAAGATAACTTGTGAAACTGATTGCACAAGAATGGAAATCGGACAACTATGAGTTCTGTTTTATATCCAAAAAGTGTACAACTACAATTGTGTTTCCACATAACTTGTTCATAAACCAAACGACTTGAGAGCTATAGAACTAAGGTGATGTACACGCTATCCTCTCCAAATCCACGTATGCCATTGTATTGAGTTTGTTTTGTATTAGTAGTTTATGTTCGTATAGTATCTATATTGCTGTGTAACAAATTTAATTGCACCATGGACAACTAGGGAAGAAATTGTGAAGTAAAATCTAATCAAAGTAAGATGAGAAAAACTTGACAAGGTAGGCAAACACATTAGACTAAAACAGCAAAACCAGTATCCCAAAGAAAAACTGAACACCCTTAAAACCTAGACTTACAGTCCAAACTAAAATAAACAGAACAGATGCCGGATAAATCGACTAATTTTACTTGATGTTCATTTCCCCTTTGATCACTGCAGAAAACCTATTTACCTCATCAGGCAACTTGCTCAGGCATGTTTATTAAAACGTGTTTAGCAGTGGATGGCCAGAGGCTACATATATAAGTTATTGGGATACCAAGCAAACAAGACTTCATACTAGAGAAGTACAGGTAAATTAGATAAGCCTACAGACGTTGAGATGACATTCTTCTTCTTCTTAGTCGCTCAGCTACGATGAAGGAGAGTTCAAGAGACTGAGATGCATTCAATCTTGGGTCACAATGAGTGTGGTAGCGAGAGCCCAAATCGTCATAGGTTACTGTTCGTGATCCACCAATGCATTCAGTCACATTTTGCCCTGTCATTTCAAGGTGAATACCACCAGGGTGGCTTCCTTCTTGCTCATGCACATCGAAGAAAGCTCGGACCTCAGCCTGACAGTTTAGCACAACATGACATTCAGATATGAGCATTAAACTTTTAGATCAAACAACAGAAACTACTGAAATCTCAGTCCGTCTAAACAACACACTTTGGACCACAAAATTATATTCAGTTTTTATTGTGGCGTTAAGCCGCAAACAATCTACCACCAGGCAAGCAAATTTACACACACTTTCTACTAAGAGTCTCTGAACTGGTCAATATCTAGCAGAAATGTCTCTCATTTCATGGGGAAGCAGCCATCTCTATCCATATAACTTCTAAGAATCATAAAAAGGATGCAGAGATGAAACATACCAGGATTGAATCGAAAGCACGGGTTTTGAGTCCACATGGTGCCTTGATGGTATTCCCGTGCATTGGATCACAAACCCATGTCACAATCTGACCAGCGCCCCGTACAGCCCTGACCAAGTGGGAAAGTTTTACTCTCATGTTCTCGGCACCCATTCTAACAATTACAGTAATTCTTCCAGGCTTATTGGCAGGGTTCAGGATGTCAATGAGCTTAATTAGCTCTTTTGGATCCATTTTTTGACTCACCTGTAAAAAAACTTCCATCTTTAGGCAACTAACGTAAACAACATTGGCTAAGAAAACTGGATAAGATCTCAGGTAAATCATTTTGATTAATACTACGAGAAGCAAACATAAAATGGTACTTAGATAGATACATCATGCATAAATGAAGAAATCTAGCCATAGATGTCCAACTCCAAGGCAAATTAAGAATTTTATAAAACATAAATATGGGTGTTCTTTAGAAGGTTACGCATCAAAATGGGTCTCAAATTTTGGTTCACTGGTAAGATTCTTGCTTGAGAGAAAAAAATGGCGAGTTCAAATCTATGCCCCAAGTAAATAAGCGGAAATCAGAAAGCAAAAGGAGTGATTAGAGATGCATAAATTCTAAATTTTGTTTTCCTCTATTAAGATTTTCCTTCACTTTTAGATAAGTCGAGCAGTCTAATGCGCTGAGTAATGAATAAGCTGATTAGTAATACTCCTGTTAGCATATTGCACTACAACGCTTGAAGCTATCCATACCTTTATTCCAAGAGGGTTCGCAACTCCTCTCAAAAACTCGACATGAGCACCGTCTAGTTGCCTGGTTCTTTCCCCAACCCAAACCATGTGAGCAGAACAATCGTAGAAAAGACCAGAAGTTGAATCCTCTCTTGTAAGTGCTTGTTCATAAGGAAGAAGCAAGCACTCATGGGATGTCCAGAAATCAGTTGTTGACATGATAGGGTGGTCAACTGTGAGTCCAGCAGCAGCCATGAATCCTAAGGCTTCATCAACCCTGTGAGCTAGTTCCTGATACCTGCAAATCATTCCCAATATATAATATATTAGACTTAAAATTGCCCGATTAATCCAATCTGAATGGCTGAATATGCAACTGAAATTGACACTCCATGTAGTCACGACAAAGCCGGACACTTCAGGCGAAGGCTTTGAAATAATACACCAAGCATAACTGTGGAATTCATTCCAATTTTTCATCTCCTAAAAGACATTTGGCAGCAACATAAAACAAGATTGACTGCTGAATCAAAGGATCTGCCGTAAAACTTAATTAAAGATTGTGATTTTGTCATACCTATCTCCCTGTTCACTGTTCTCCACAAAATCAAGATTCCATTCAGTGACCCTCTGCATTGCAGCATAACCTCCAGTAGCAAAAGCTCTAAGAAGATTAAGAGTCGCAGCAGATTGCATGTATGCCCTAATAAGCCTATGAGGATCTGGAATTCTTGACTTCTCATCGAACGTATCACCATTGATATTGTCACCCTTGTAACTTGGTAGCTTCACTCCATTTATCTCCTCAAACGGATCTGATCTTGGTTTTGCAAACTGACCGGCCATTCTTCCAACCTACAATTAACCGTGTAACAATTTAAGCTTAAAGCCGTGATCTTTTTTCAACCATGAAGCTCATTATAATGATCTTTATTTTATCTATCCAAGATCCTAAACAGTCGACAACTCAACACGCTTGAGAAAAACAAATATATGCACATTCAGATCAAAACCATATGAGTTTTCTTTAGTTTATGAACCAAGTTATGGAGAAACAACTATAGTTGTACAATATCTAGAAATCTAACAGAACTCTATCTTGACAGAAAATATATAGCATAACTCATGTCAGGAACAATAGGAGCACAATTTCACACAGATACATAAAAATAAGAATCAAGAATCAGCAGAACACACATATTAGCACATCAAAACACATAATTTGGAAATGTGGTTCACAAAAACCAAATCTTTATTACCTTAATCACAGGAACAATCAGCAGAACACACATATTAGCACATCAAAACACAGAATTTGAAAATGGGGTCATAAAAATCAAATCTTTATCACCTTAATCACAGGAATAATATGAAAAACACACATATTAGCACATCAAAACACATAATTTGAAAATGGGGTTCATAAAAATCGAATCTTTAATCACAGGAACAATGAGCAAAATAAACAAATTAGCACATCAAAACACAGAATTTGAAAATGGGATTCATAAAAATCAAATCTTTATTACCTTAATGACAGGAACTTGTCCACCAAACATAAGAACAACACTCATCTGAAGCAAAATCCTGAAAGTATCACGAATATTATTGGCATTAAACTCCTTAAAACTCTCAGCACAGTCTCCCCCTTGTAACAAAAAAGCTTTCCCCAATGCAGCCTCACCAAGCTTCTCTTCCAAACTCCTTGCCTCACCAGCAAACACAAGGGGTGGATTCATTTCAAGTGTTTTAAGCACCGATTCAAGTTCTTTCTCATCTGGGTATTCAGGAAGTTGTAAAGCTTTCTTTGTTTTCCAGCTATCAAGACTCCATTTTCCTTGCTTAACTGCAGTCTTGGATGGCTCCGCCGCGTGTACGGCGGAGATAGGGTGGCGCCGCCCATGTTGGGTGGTCGGAAAAAGGGAAAAACGAGGTTGGGGTGTAGGATTATGGAGCAGATGAGATTGAACAAGGGATTTTGATGATGACAATGATAAGGTGTTTGATAAAGCCATGATTATTTTTTTTGCCTTTTGATGATTCTTGAATCCTCTTTTTCTCTCACTATAAAATAACAATTTTTTTAGAGAGAGAAAGGGGAAGAGGTATCAATGGAGGAGGAGATCTAAAGGGGCATTTTAGGATTATTTATATTTCTAACGTAGAGTTTTGTCGTAATTAATAAAGTTAATATCATGTAATCATAGAAATATATATATTTAAATTGTGTAAAAAATCTCTTTTTCAATTAAATAAAATTACGTATAAATTATGATGTTTTAATCATCATAAGCTTATATTTATATATGAATGACATAACTAATTAGAATATCATGAACTTTAAATTGTGAAAATAAACTCTTTAAAAATATAAGTAAAATTTGATACAAAACATTTTAAATACTTATTTTTTTGTCATTTTCTAATCGATATGACGTAACGAAAATTTAATATATCATATTTTGAGTTTTTTTTATTTTGAGATTATAATTTATTGTGAGTAGGTGTAGAATTGGTAGTTGTGAGAGGCATTTTGGTAAATAAGTTGTGAAATTGGGTTAAAAGGTTATAAAAGAGACAACAAAAGTAGGTGAGTTTAGTTTGGTATTTTTGTTAAAACTCATTTGTGATAATTGCACTTTTGGTATCTCAATTATCGATAAACACTATGAGTTTTGATTTTAATAATATTTTTTCGAGTAATTAATTATCGATTGTGTATTAGATAAATTTACTCTTAAACAATAACTCGCATTTTATACCAAAAATATAAATCTCACTATACAAGTCTAGTACGATAAGTTTGAATAAAAAGACGTTGGCTAAGGAAATTATTTTTTAGTGTTTTTTTTTTTATGAAATATCACATATTGCATCAATTCAGTTATCTTTATGAATATGTTCGGTCATGTATAATAGTTAAGTCTTAAATTAATTCAATAAAAGAAATTAGGTT